CGAGGTGCCTCCAGGGGTCTATGATATATGCAAAGTCTATGAACAACAAGCAATATTGTTTGGAGCATTAAAAACCTTTACATAAAATATCTCACACTGAATGCCTTGTTCGGCAACTTGCTTTTTAAAAAATTTAACCATATGTTTACAAGTTTTCCCCCCAACTTAAAAAAAAAATCAGCTTTTGTATTAGTCTGCTTTATTTTTCTTTTTACTTATTTATTTTTTGGCAGCTGGCCAGTACAATATCTTAACCCTTGACCTTGGTGTTATAGCACCACACTCTAACCAACTGAGCTAACTGGCCAGCCCTATGAGTCTGTTTTCTGTTGCTTATAACATAATATCTGTAACTGGGTAATTTATAAAGAAAGGAAATTTCTTACAGTTTGGAGGCTGGGAAGTTCCCAGCTCAGGAAGCACCTATGGTGAGTGCCTTCTTTTTGGTGGTGACTCCCTATACAGTCCATGGCGACCAGGTGTCACATGGCAAGAATGGCCTGAGCAAGAGTTCTCCCATGTGTTCTCCTTATAAAGCCACCAGTCCACACCCATGATAACTCATGACCATCAACCTATCTTTCCATGAATGGATCAATCCATTCACGAGGGCACAGTCCTCACAATCCAATCACCTCTCAAGGGCCCCACCTTTCGAATACTATAATCAGATTTCCCACCCTCTTAACACAGTTACAATGGGGATCAAGTTTCCAATACATGAAGTTTTGGGGGACACATTTGAACCATAGCAGCTTTATTGAAGCAGGTATTAGTTTCCTAGGGCTGATGTAAGAAAATGCTACACTGAGTGGTTTAAACAACAGAAAGTTATTGCCTCTCAGTTCTGGAGGCCAGAAGTCTGAAATCAGGTTGGTTCCTTCTGGAGGCTCCCAGGGGAAATCTGTTCCATGCCTCTCTCCCAGCTGCTGGTGACTGCAGGCAGTCCTTGTTCCCGAGCTTGCAGCTACGTTATTGCCATCTCTGCCCTGTTTTTTGTTTTTTTGTTTTTTTAACCAGTAAGGGGATCTTAACCCTTGACTTAGCGTTGTCAGCATCACACTCTCCCAAGTGAGCCACAGGCTGGCCCTCTGCCCCGTTTTTACGTGAGCTTCCCCCAACCTGAGTCTTTTCTTCTGGGTCTTCTCTTCTGTATCTCTGTGACTCAAATCTCTCTTTTTTTTTTTTTTTGGTGGCTGGCCAGTACAAGGATTGAACCCTTGACTTCGGTGTTATAAAACCGTGCTACAACCAACTGGGGTAACTGGCCAGCCCATGATCTGTTTTTCATCATTATAATTTTGTCTTTTGCAGCATGCCCTATGAATGGAATCATATACAGTGTATAGTCCTTTGTGTCTGGTTTCTTGGACTTCTGAAATTTATCCATGTTGTATGTATCAGTGGAATCAATAGGTTTGAAAATGTTCAAACTATAAGACAAGTTGCAGGAATAGTACGATGAATACCCTCTGCAAAGGCTCACAAGTGTGAACATTTTACTGCATTTGCATTACCTTTCTCTTGGACTACACACCCAGGCACACATTTTGCTAAACCATTGGCTATTTTAACTTGCATCTCCTAAGGACAAGGATTTTCTCTTCCATAATTATGCACCATTATCACATCTGAAAAATGGAACATTAATAAAATACATATAACAATCTTACCTAACATACAGGCTGTGTTCAAATGTTTCCAGTAATACCTTTTTTAGATGATTTTTTTTTTTCAAATCCAAGATCCAGTCAAGGATCACATAGTGCATTTAGCAGTCATTTTTCTTTAGTCTCTTTTAATCCGAAATGGTCCCCCCCCAAAGTCACATTTTTCAAATAATTCAGGCAGTTGTGTTCTAAGATGTTTCTGAGATTTCTCCAGGAAGGAATGTTTGGATTTAGTTTGTGCTTGTTAGCTGCTGTATAGTCTTCCATCCAATGTTTAAACCCCAAGTTATTTCTACATTCTCCTGTCAATGATCATTTAGTCTTTTGGCACTTTTTCAATGTTATAAACAATATTTTTTGTTTGTTTGTTTGTTTGGTGGCTGGCCAGTATGGGGATTCAAACCTTGACTGTGGTGTTTGTAACACTGCACTGTAACCAACTACAACCAACTAACCGGCCAGCCCCTTATAAACAATATTTTAGTGAGCATCCTTGTGCACAGATCTCCATGGACACATGGGGGGGAGTTGCACTCTGGAATTAGTGGGTGGAGTATCTTCCAGAGACCTTTTGCTGCATAATAACCACCCCACAACTTAGAGGCTTAAGACACAATATGGTTTTTTCTTTCACAGTTTTGAGGGTTGGCTGGGTTCTGCTGGGTGATTCTTGCTGCTGGGATTTCATGAAGTTGCAGGCAGATGGTGGCCGGGACTAAAGGCAACAGAAAGCTTCTACATGCCAGTGTCTGGTGCCTGGGCTGGAACACTGGTGCAGCTGGGGCTGATCGGCATTTCTCTCTCCATACAGCCTCTGCATGTGGCCCGCCTGGAATGCCTCACAGTGTGGCTGTCCTAGACTTCTAATACGGTGGCTGACTTCCCCAACAGTGAAATTCCAAGAGGCTTGGGCAGAAGCTGCAAGGCGTCTTAAGATCCAGCTTTGGAGGCCCCAGAACTATCATTTATACATCATTCAAGGTCAAAGGAGGCAAGGCCAAGAGAGGCCAGCCCAGGCTCAAGGAGAGAGGATCAGATTCCGCCTCTCAAGGAGAAGAGCAGCAAAGGATTTGCAGGTGTCTTTATCTATCACAGAGGTCAGGCTCTTCAGCTTTGTTTGATATTGCCAAACAGGTTTCCAAAGTGTGGGTTTTAATTTGCACTCTGTAATAAAGAGTCTGACTCCATTTTGACATTTGACTGCTAACAGCTTTAAAGCAACATGCCTCCCTCTTGCCCACATTTGGGCAAGCTGATAAGACCCATGCTCTCTCCCTCACACTAAACAGCCCTGGCCAGTTTAGGGGGATTTGCACTCCCTAACCACAATAAACGCCCCTCCTCTCTCACCCAAGCAAGCCATTGTCAGGCCTGCTGGGATCCTGTCCTAGAAAGCCTCATTAATGAGTCATTCAACTCTTCCTATTCTCTTGGTGCGTGTGGCCTCTTTAGTCTCCAATCTGAACCTAATTTTGGGTGGAGGATTGATCCTCTCATGGGGCAACCACAAAACACTCCTGTCAGCAGAGTGTGAATTTCATCTGGACTATACCTGGCCAACACTTGGCATTGTCAGACTTTTTTTTTTTTTTTTTTTTTTTTAGCTGGCAGATATGGGGATCTGAACCCTTGACCTTGGTGTTATAACACCGTGTTCTAATCAATGAGCAAACCGGCCAGCCCTCATCAGACTTTTTAATTTTTGCCCATCTGCTGGCAAACTTGGGGTCTGTTATGGACTGAATTGTGTCCCCTCAAAATTCATATGCTGAAGCTGTAACTCCCAGTATGTGACTCCTCAGAATGTGATTGTATTTGGAGACAGGGCTAATAAAGAAGTGGTTAAGTTAATATGTGACCCTTAGAGAGGGCCCTAATCCAATGACTGGCGTCCGTATAAGAAGAGGAAGAGACAGCAGGGGTGCACATGCACAGAAGGACGACCCTATGAAGAGACAGGAAGATGGTGGCCAGCGATCGTCTGCAAGTCCAGGAGACAGGCCTCGGGAGGAACCAACCCCTGCCCAAACCTTGATCTTGGACTTCCACCTTCCAGAAACGTGAGAAAATAAATTTCTGTTTAAGCCACTCAATCTCTGGAATTTTGTTATAGCAGCCCTAGCACACGAGTAGAAGATCTTAATGTTTTAGTTTGCATCTCCAGCTCGCTCATCCTGCTCACTATTTATTTTGTCTAAAATACAGATGGGATCCCCCTCACTGTTCCTCTCCCAGCTGCTCCAGAGACAGCTGTGTAACTCTCATTACCCCGCCCTTCTCCAGGAAGCGCCCCCACCCTCGACCTGGTCCCTGATTCCTCCCGATCCCTCTCCACCTGCCCGGCCGCCCAACCCTGGGCTCACGGGGCGGGAGGGGCGGCTCTGCTGGTCCCCAAGTCTCTACCTCCAGGATCGCATCCCGTCCACCCCCTCTTCTGTCCCCCGCACCTGGCACGGGGCAGGCGCTGGAGCTTCTGCACGGAATTACTGGATTTAAATGTCTAGTACCCGGGGCGCGGTTCCGGAGCATCCCCTGCGTCCGGGATCTAGAGGTGCCATGACCACTGTGCACAGAGGCAGAGACCGGCGCGCAGCCCACGCGGGTCGGGGGAATGAACCCCTGAACCAAGCGCTGCCGCATCCGCGCACACAGCTGGGGCCGGCGGGGACGGGCGGGGGGCGGGCCGGGACCCCGCGGAGAAGGAAGCTTCCTTCCCAGCCTCCTGCTGCCCGGATATCCCCCCGGCGCTAGTTCGGCCAGCAGCAGGGGGTCCGGGGATGGCGGAGCAGGGGGTAGGGGAGGAGCGGGGGAGGGGGAAACCCGGGCCGCCCTTCCCCAGTGCCGCGCGGTCTGAGAAAGCAGAAGCGAGTCCTGCTCCGGAGAGCCGGGATCAGGGAAGAGAAACTTGCGGAGTCGTGGGAGGAGAAGCCCGGGGACGCTGCCGGGGCTGCTGGCGGCCGCCCCCCACCTGGGGGTCCAGTCCGCCGCTCGCGCTTTGAAGTGCTCAGAGGAGGGTCCCTGGGTCCGGGCGGGGACGGAGGCCACCGCATGGCCCGCTTCTTCTCGCTGGAGGTCGGAAGATTGGGCCATTTCCCGCACCGCACCCTTACGGCTTCTCGGGGTGCGCCCTCCCCCCGCTCCACCCAGCCCTCCGCTCGCACCCGCCCGGAGAAGAGGGACCACAGGCTCGGCGCCCGGGCCGGGACAGAACCAGGCCCGGGGCCCCGAGAGGCCGCTGCAGCGGGCCCGGAGCCCGGACCTCCGCCTCTCCCACCCCTGCGTGCGACCCCAGCCCGGTGGACCCTCCGCTGACTTCGCCGTGAGTGGCGCTGCTGCTCCCGCTGCTGCCGCCACCCGCGCGCGCCCCGAAGCCCTCGGCACAGGACGTGAGCCTGGGCGTGGTGAGCGCGGGGCTCCACGGGCTCCTGGGGTCGGCAGGGAGCCTGGAAGGAGAAACGAGGGCCCGGACTCCTGGCTCCGGAGGAGGCAGGGGGGCAGATTCAGATGTCCAGAGTGACTGGGGATGGGGTCTGGGGACCCAGATTCTTGGATCTATGGGGAGGTTTGGGGTCTGGATTTGAAGATCTGGAAAGGAGCTGGGATGAGGAGGTGGGGGTTGGGACTGCTGGTCCAGACGAAGACTGGCAGACCCAGGGCTGGAGGGTGGGGACCTTGGGAGGAGGGCAGGCAGGCATCCGGGACTGAGGGCCCTGGGCACCAGTTGTCTGGGACGAGCGAGGCTTCCAGAATGGTGGTGGAAAGGAAGAACCCCATGCCTTTTACCCTGCCGGCTTCACTTGTCCCCTCCGATGGCCTAGGACTGGCTGACCCGTTATGGCTACCTGCCGACACCCCACCCCGCCCAGGCCCAGCTGCAAAGCCCCGCGAAACTACGGGATGCCATCAAGGTCATGCAGAGGTTCGCCGGGCTGCCAGAGACGGGCCTCATGGGTAGGTCATCCTCCGCCCCCTCCCCAACCCTGCCTTGCACCCTGCCTGCCTATCATCCTGCAGTCCTTAAACCTCAGCCGCACCCGAATCACTGGAGCCATGAAGATGCCAATCTCAGGTCCCCACCCTGCAGGTTCTCAGTCATTCATCTTTCAATAAACATTTATTTATTGAGAATCTCCTACATACCAGGCCGTTTCCAGCTCTGCTGGTACAGCAGTGAACAAAGTAGATAAGGTCCCTGCTCTCATGGAACTAATGTTCTAGAGGGAGAGACACAGATCAGAAACATAAATATGCAAGATAGTCTCAGATAGTGGTGAGTGTTTTGAAGAAAATGAAATGCCAGTGGTATGGAGGGCCTGAACTGAGACTGCAAAGAGGAGGGGTCCGCCAGGGGAAGACGGGGGCAAAGAGTATCCCAAAAGCCCTGTGGCAGGCATGAGTTTGAATGGAGGGCCTGATCAGGGGCCTTGAAAGTGTTTGGGTTTGATTCCAAGGGTGGTGAGAAACCATTTGAATTTAAAGGATTTGAAGTCAGGAAGCACTCAATCTGATTTTTGTGGTTTTAAGCTTCCTGTGGTTACTGATGGAAAATGGATGCTGTGAAGCTCAGAGCCCAGGAGGGAGGCAGTTGTAGCTTCCAGACAAGGGGAGAAGATGGTGGCCTGGAGTAGAGGTGGTGGGTGCGGTCAAAGCAGTTGAATTCAGGGTGAATATTTTGGAGACAGAACTGAGGGGCTCCTCCATGAGGTTAAATGGGGAGGAAGAGGGAACTTGAAGGATCCTGGCTGGCTACAAGGGAAAGGGGGATCTTTTTCTGTCTTGTCTACTCTCATGAACAGCCTGGAACAGTGTCTGGCATCCATATGTCACCCTGACGAATGAGGTGCAGTTTGATCTTAATTTGAAGATAAGGAGACTGCTGAGAATGGAGCCCAGTTAGGAAAGGGGATTCCAGGTAGACCTAACCTGGGAGGGGTGCTGGCCACTGGAGACCAGAGACCTAGCCAGTCTGGGGGACTTTGGACTTTATCTGGATGTGATGAGGACTCAAGAGCAATGGTGTGAGGTATAAGTAGCCTCGGGGGGGGGGGGGTTTCCAGCCTCAAAGTGAGGGGTCCTTGCTGCACCTTCAGGGCTCCTTTCTCTAGAGTCCACCGCCAGGGCTCAGGGAAGCCTCTGAGCAACACCTGGAGGTAGCCAGTCCATCCAGAGCCAGGTGGAAAGAGAGCTGCCACCTAGGAGGGCAGTGTTAATATTTTGGTATGAGCTGGCTATGAGAGCCAAACTGCCTGTAGGGTCTGTCTTGGGAAAATTTCTTAACCCATGTAAGAGAGTTAGCTGGTGCCATGATCAGGGCAGGCGGTACTACTGCTGACTCCTACCCTCACCCAACTGTCTCTTGCAGATGCAGTGACAATGGCCACCATGCGGAAGCCCCGCTGCTCCCTGCCTGACGTGCTGGGTGCAGCGGGGCTGGTCAGGCGGCGCCGACGGTACGCTCTGAGGGGCAGCATCTGGAAGACACGAACCCTCACCTGGAGGTAGGTGCTGGCACCCCCCCTCCCCGGGCCTGGCTGCCTTCTCCCACCACAGCCACCCTTACTTCCCTCTGTCCCCTCTTCTTCTCCCAGGGTACGATCCTTCCCCCAGAGCTCCCAACTGAGCCAGGAGACTGTGCGCACCCTCATGAGCTATGCCCTGTCTGCCTGGGGCGTCGAGTCAGGCCTCGTGTTCCAGGAGGTGGGCTCTCAGGACAAGGAGCCTGACATCCTCATCGACTTTGCCCGTGCCTACCACCAGGACAGTTACCCCTTCGACGGGATGGGGGGAACCCTGGCCCATGCCTTTTTCCCTGGCGAGCACCCCATCTCTGGGGACACTCACTTTGATGATGAAGAGACCTGGACTCTTGGGTCAAAAGGTAAAATCTCCCCTCTTCAGAGAAGTCCTCCCCACAGGTCTGTCTATTCTTAGGAATTAGGTTTAAATTATGTTTATTGGTGGAGGCTGTATCAGTTGGGGGTCTCCAGAGAAACAGAACCAATAGGATATGGGTGCAAAGAGATTTATTTACTTATTTTGGTGCCTGGCCAGCATGGGAATCCGAACCCTTGACCTTGGTGTTACAAGGCTGTGCTCTAACCAACTGAGCTAACCTGCCAGCTTAAGAGGATTACTTTAAGGAATTGGCTCATGGGGATTGTGGGGGCTGGCAAGTCCAAAATTTGTTGGGCAGGACAGCAGGCTAGAAATTCCAGTGTAAGGTGATGCTGCAGTCTTGAGTCAGAATCCACAGAGCAGACCAGCAGGCTGGAAACTGAGGCAGGACTTCTGTTACAGTCTTGAGGCAAAATTCCCTCCTCTCTGGGAGCCTCAGTTTTTGCCCTTAAGGCCTTGAACTGATTGGATGCGCCCCCCTTCCCCATGATGGAGGGTGATCTGCTTTGCTTAAAGTCAACTGATTGTAGATGTTAATCTCATCTACAAAATACCTTCACAACAGCAACCAGATTGGTGTTTGACCAAACAACTGGGCACCTTAGCTGGGCCAAGTTGACACATAACATGAACCACCCAGCTGGGGCTGGGGACTCACAGAGCCACAAACACATCTCTGTCCAGCAGCTGAGTCAGAAGAGTACCCGGCAGTTACTACACACATGGTGATGCAATGACACGGAATAACAACAGGAAGTCCTCAAGCCTGTGGGTGCTCAGGGGACTTGTTGACCCAAAGCTCTTGGATGAAGGGAGGTTCCTGGAAGGGATGACTCCATTTACTCCACATACACACTCATGTATAGACACATGCACCTACGCAGAGTGCCGACTAGCACATGGCCACATCGACAAGGTCCTGCTCTCCCAGAGTGCACAGGATGGGGAGATTCAATAAAAAAGTACAACCAGTGAGCTCACTGGATCCAGAGTAGTCAGGGGCTGGGAGGAGCCACTGGGGGGAGAAATGGCCTGGGACATCCCACACTGGAGGACAAAAATAAGACATCGGGAAGGAGATTGCAGAGAATGATAGGTCTCATATCACAAAGGGCCTTTGAAAGCATATGGAAGAGTTTGGACAATGCGGTTTGGAAGGCAATGGGGAGCCATCAAAAGGTTTTGTGTTCTAGAAACATCACTGGCTGCATTGGGGAGTGGGGTGTCAGGATAGATGCAGGGAGGCAGGAGCTGCTGCAGGGTCCAGGTAAGAGATGGTTGGGGGTGATCCCAGGGGAGGAAGGCAAAGATGGGGATCTGGCTGGATTCTGGGGACAAGGACTTACATGCAGAGTCCAGCTTAGGGCCCCTGGAGGACAAGGTACTGTTAACGCAGGTGGGAATGTGGGAGAGGAGGAGCAGGCTGGAGGGAGGCAGGCTGAGTGCATTTTAGCACATCCCTGAGTGCTGGGGACGTCCCCTGCAGGTGGTGCACAGGCAGGCCGTGAAGATCCTGCTCTAGAACTTGGACTCCTCCGTCTTAGGTCAGGCTCCCCAGACGTGGAGCTTGAGGTGGGAATTCTTGTGCAAGTGATTTCTCGGGAGCACATGCTCAGAGGAAAGGGAAACAGGAGAGGAGAAGAAGTTAAGCAAAGATATGGTCACGGCTGGGGAGGAGCCTGGTCCCCTCGAGCTCCATAGTGGGATGGCAGGCCCAGCTCTTTTTAGGCTCATATAGTCCCACCCTTGGCCGTAGGTCTGTATAGACCTGCCCTTGGCTGTGAGCGGCTGGCTGAGGTTGAGTTGAGGGAAAGAGCAGTGATCTGGTTAAGGGGCAGCCAGGGATGGTGCACAGGCCCTTTCATGGGACTGGGCACAACCCACATAGCATCCAGGACAGTGAGGCTGAGCACTGTGGCCCTGAGAAGGTGGGCTTCCAGGCTAAACTCAAGTCAGCGTCCCTCCGCTTGCAACATTCACAAGTTACTTAACCTCATTGTGCTCAGTTTCTTCATTTAGAAATGGGGAGAAGAATAGCACCTGCTGGAGTGTGGGTTTGTGGGTTAAACGAGTAACTCACCTATAGCTCTTAGCACAGAGCCTGGCCCTGAGTAGGGCTCTCTGCACTTCCAGCTGCCTTTGGAGCTGGGCCTAGTGGCAGAGCTGAGAATCTGTGGGAGTTGATAAGTTTCCCGAAAGGAGAGCATAGAATGTGAAGGTCAAGTACAGAGCCCCGGAAAGCCCCATAGCTGGGAGATGGATGGTTTGGGAGGAGGAATCAAAGGAGACAGAGAGACGGGGCCGAAAGGTGATGAAGAGCAAGAGTGAAGGAGGAAGTGGGCAGCTGTGGCCAAGGCAGCAGACAAGTACAAGTTACCCAAGCCTGGATTTGGTCATCCAGGCACAAAGTGACCTTTTTAGTGCCTGCAGGCTTAGTGGGTGGGGGAAGAATCCAGACCACAGTGGGGTTAGGTGTGAGAGGAGCAGAGGAATTGAAGACTGAATTTAGACCACTAACCAAAGAACTTGGCTGGGGAGGGAGGGGAGAGGGCAGTGTAGATGGGAACGGAGTGGGGACAAGCCCAAGGAGTGTTTTAGGATGAGGGAGTTATGAGGACTCGGGGACACCGGATGAGCCAATAGAAAGACAGGGATGCAGGGGAATGGATGCATGGCCAGAGGGACGGGTAGATGATGAACAGGTAGATGGATGGATGATAGACATCTGGAAGGGTGGATGATGGACAGGTGGATGGATGAACAGCTGGATGGGTGGTTGATGGATGGATAGACAAATGGATGAGTGGATGAATGGACAGTTGGACAGGTGGATGATGGACAGATGGATAAGTGGATGGTGGACAGTGGAATGAGTGGGTGGTGAATGGATGGATGGATGGATGAACGAATAGACAGCTGGTTGGGTAGATGATGGATAGATGAATGGGTGGTTGATGGATGGCTGGGACATTGTCCTTGTCCTGGAGAAGGGGAGTGAGGCAGGGTCCTCACACAGGGCAGGGTGGGAGGCAGAAGGTGAGTGTGGGGAGATGCAGCTCTCTGCCCCAAGTGCACCGGAAATCACAGATTACATCAGATGTCCTGTCCTGATGAAATAGGAAGCATATTGGTCAGCATTTGTCATCTGAGAGGTGGGGGCTGGGGTGGTTGTGGGCCTGGGATGAAGGCTGAGGGGAGACAGCAAAGAGCTGCTAATGAGGCCGAGGGCAAAGATGAGCAGAGGTGCAAGGGCCCTGCAGACTACCCACCAGGGCCCTCGCGTGGCTGGGCCTGCACAGTGTGGAATTCCCCTTGGCTGCATAGCGTGAGGGTGTGCAGAAAGGGGTGCACGTCCCGGAAGCCCAGTGTGGCCAAAGGAGAGGCAGGGCAGGGAAGGAGGTAAGAGATGAAAGAGATTGACCTGATTTAGACACCAAACTTCCTCCAGTTTCTCAGAAAAAGGACTCAGCGACGAGAAACCTAGTCTGCATGGAAATTTGTCAACACACATGCAGTTTCTGAAGTCACTGTCAAAAGGCAGGACAGTGCAGCCACTGTGCTAGGCCTCAATCCTAGCTCCGCACCTAACTTGACCTCATTGTGCCTCAGTTTCCTCCTCTGTAAAATGGGGCTAGGAGATAGAGAATTAAGTGAGAAGTAAGTGAGGCCAAGTGCTTGCTACTCCTCCTTGGCCTGACCCAAGTGTTTATTTCCTTCTTAGAGTCTCATCTTAGCAGACTTTAGGGGCTGGGGAGATTTGCTTTCCAACTCACTAGGTTGTTTCCTGTAAGCCTGCTTTTAACATTACTAACTCTCGGTAGAGATTTCCATGAAGTAGGTTGACCTCTGGGGAAATCTGCGTGCCCCCGTGGGGTTGCCCAGCACTGTCACTGTCTGGGTCTCTTCTGGGTGGGGCCTCTCAGGGATTGGAGGAGGGCCTGCAGGCATCTCATGGATCGATGAGGAGCTGGGTTGGGCTGGCAGCTGGAGTGTGAGGAGGATGGTCCTGGCGCCCAGGCTGGATCCCAGGGGAAGAGGCCCAAGTGGCGGGAGGAGGCTGCGGTCTGAGAGTGCCTGCGGAGGGAGCTCCATGTTCCAGCAGGGTGGGGGTGGGGGAGAGGCTGTGAGAAGGGGAGATGGGGGAGGGTATGAGGGCCCAAGAAGAGTGGAGATGGAAGAAGAGGGGGAGGGGAGGAGGAGGAGCCATGGGGTTGGGAATGGGGGGAAGGTCTTGGGAGCTGAGACCAAAGAAACTGATCTACCTTCCTAGCAGATGGGGATGGGAAGTGGGGAGTTGGAAGGGGCTGGGGGGTCTCTGACCATAAGCTGGAGCTGGGAGGAGGGGCCACTCCAAGGCTGGGACTTCCTGGAGACCTGCATGTGCACCCAGGTTCCTGCTCCCACCCCAGAAACTTCCTATATGCACAGTCTTCCCTTCCTGGGGGAGGGGCTCCTTCAGTGCAAGGTAACCCCTCCCTGAGCCTCTTCAGCCCTGTTGCCCAATGTCTAGCACTGCCAGACAAGGCTCCTCAAGTGTATGTGCTGAATGGGTGATTAAGTACAGGGAGGATGACTGGCCCCACTCCCAGGGCCTTCCTGGGCTGCCCCTTTGCTGGGTTGGGGGTGGCCTCCAATCTAGCTTGCTCTCCCCCTCCTCCAGATGGTGAGGGCACCGACCTGTTTGCGGTGGCTGTTCATGAGTTCGGCCATGCCCTGGGCCTGGGCCACTCCTCAGCTCCCAACTCCATTATGAGGCCCTTCTACCAGGGCCCCGTGGGTGACCCTGACAAGTACCGCCTGTCCCAGGATGACCGCGATGGCCTGCAGCAGCTCTATGGTATGGAGAGTGGGGGCCCTGCCCGAATCACCGTGTGGCTCCCCCAGTGGCCTCAGCAGCAGGGCCAGTGAACCCACACCTGACTCTCTCCCCACAGGGAAAGCGCCCCAAACCCCGTATGACAAGCCCACGAGGAAACCCCTGGCTCCTCCTCCCCAGCCCCCTGTCATGCCCCCAGACAGGTGAGTCTTCCACCTTCTGTGTGACCTCAGGTGACCAGCTCCCTAGCCTCGGTGTCCTCCGTGAGATGGGGATGGTAAGAGTCACCACCTCGTAGGCCTGTTGTCAAAGGTAAGGAAATGAGGAGCCCCCACCCTTCTGTTCACCTCTCCTTTCCTCCCCAGACCCTCCTCCCCGGTCCCTGATCGATGTGAAGGCAATTTTGATGCCATTGCCAATATCCGAGGTGAAACTTTCTTCTTCAAAGGTGAGTCACTACACATGGTCCCTGACCCCACAGAGCTGGCTTCCAACACGCTTAGGGTGCCCCCCGGGGGAGCTGTGTGGTTTTGCTGGAAGTGGAACTTTTAGTGTTAAAAAAGGGAACGTCCCAGGCCAGCCACAAGGAGTTGGTCACCCTACATCTTCTGCACCCTGGATTTCCAAATGGCCACCCCTATGCTGGGGGAGTGGAAAACCCAGCCCTCCTGGGCCACACACTCCGGGGGAGAAGACGTCCTACCATCTCATGCCCCCATGCCCACTCCTCCTCCCACAGGCCCCTGGTTCTGGCGCCTCCAGCCGTCGGGACAGCTGGTGTCCCCTCGGCCAGCTCGGCTGCACCGCTTCTGGGAGGGGCTGCCCACCCAGGTGAAGGCCGTCCAGGCGGCCTATGCCCGGCACCGAGATGGCCGAATCCTCCTCTTCAGCGGTGAGCGGGGTCCCCATGGCCCGGGCCGGGCCAGGCGCGGGGAGAGCCGCCACTCACCAAGTCGCCTCCCTGCAGGCCCCCAGTTCTGGGTGTTCCAGGACCGGCAGCTGGAGGGCGCCGCGCGGCCGCTCACCGAGCTCGGGCTGCCCCCGGGGGAGGAGGTGGACGCTGTGTTCTGGTGGCCGCTGAATGGCAAGACCTACTTGATCCGCGGCCAGCAGTACTGGCGGTACGACGAGGCGGCGGCGCGCCCAGACCCCGGCTACCCACGAGACCTGAGCCTCTGGGAAGGGGCGCCGCCCGCTCCGGACGATGTCACCGTCAGCAACACAGGTGGGGGAGGGGACGCTGGGGAAGAGGCTGAAAGCCACACGGGGAGGGACCGGCAGGTTACTGGCCCTGGAGATGGGGTGAGGGGTGCCTGGGATTGGGTAGATAGGGCCATCCTGGGGGATTTGGGGAGCCCTCTGCAAAGACACTGTGCTGCAGAAAGGGGCGGGATTGGGGCAGGCCTGGACCAAGCCTCTGAAGCGTCTCCTCCCCCGCAGGGGACACCTACTTCTTCAAGGGCGCCCACTACTGGCGCTTTCCCAAGGGCAGTGTCAAGACCGCGCCAGACTCCCCCCAGCCTATGGGGCCCACGTGGCTGGACTGCCCCGCCCCCAGCTCTGACCCAGGGCTTCCCAGACCCCGCAAACCGTCCCCCAGTTCCGGACCCTGCGACTGTCAGTGCGAGATCAATCACGCCGCAGGGCGGCGGCCACCGCCCCTCCCGCTGCTCCCGCTGCTCCTGCTGCCTCTGCTGCCCCTGCTGGCGGGGGGCGTCGTCTCCAGCTGAGGGGGAGCTTCCTGAGCGAGAGGAACAGCCCCGTACCCGGAGGGGAAAGCAGTTTACCATGGCCGGACCTGGGGGCAGTGTGGGACGCTGCCCGGACGCGGGGTCCCAGGCGGGGCGGAGCGGGGCGAGTTCCCTGGCCCGCCTGGGTTTCCCGCGCTCTGAGCCCCGCCGGCGACCTGCGGCCCGGAGCCCGCCGCCAGGGGGCGCGCGCGCAGTGCTCGGGGGACGAGGCGGAGCTAAGCCGGAGGTGGGAGGTCAAAGGGCTAGTCCTTGGACTGGTCACGACCCCTTGCCGGTCACTGGGAGGGGACACCCCTTCCCGGCCCTGCGCGGCCCTTGCCGGACCCTCCCTTTCCCGGAATAGCTAGTCTCTCTCGGAACCCAGTCCGCGGACTCGCTCCAGCCCCCGCCCGCCAGCGACAGGTGCTGGCCTATTTTTGGGTCATTAGAGGACAGGCCTGACTGGGAAACTGCACCCCGGCCCTCTCCCAGCAGCGGTGCTGTGTGTCCCCGCGGTCTCTCACCATGTCCTGCTCCCACGATGCTCTACTACAGTCACTGCCACGTTGGTGAGGACCCCGACCCACACCATAGATCCTCACCTCCAGCCCTCGTGCCCCACGTACTGGGTGATATCAGCGGCCACCCGGACAACCCTCTGCACTGTGGACCTTGTTGTTAGTCACCTTCACTCAAGGCCGCACAGCCTGGACGTCACCCTGGACCCAGAACTCCCCCACCCCCATTCAATGGGACACCCTCCTATCCCTAAAACGCCTCTCCCTGCCTGAACCCTAAAGCTTCAGCAGCTCCACCTAGGAGGGCAGCTTGGCCCCCAGTAGCTAAGTGTCCCCGTGAATGCATGGACTCAGTCCTCTTGCAGTCCCTGTCACTGCCTCCTCAGCACTCCTGGGTGGCCCTAGCTCTCTGGTATGGGGACAGTGGAACCTGGGGCACTTCATTGGCACCCCACTCCCCAGAAAGGCAGGACCTAAAACATGGCCTTGGGAAATATGCTTCTGGGATATTCCACATCAGAATAACCCGGAGAACTGACAAATGCAGATCCCATACTCTCATCCTGGATCCTCACTCGGGGGTGGGGCCAGGAACCAGCATTTTAACTAGCTGGGGGTGTGGGGCAATGACAGCTCAGATGAGGAAAGGGGCTGGGGTGGGCACTGGCTGTCCCATGGCACTTCTATTTCTGCCATGTTCTGCCTCCCACGGGACAGTCTCCATGTGTTCACTACAGAGCCATGCTCATGGCCTTGGTTGAGAGGTGTCCACGCCTATGGGTGGGGTCACTTAGTGGGTCACTTGGTGGTTGCTGTCCAGCCTCAGTGGCCCCACAGTGCTTCCCAGAGCCAAAGCTGTGGGCAGCAGTCCCAGGGACTAGAGGCAGTTGCCCCTGGTGTTCATGACAAGCAGACCAGCATGAGGACAAAAGCCAGGCATCTTCCAAAAGTCCATGGCCTGAGAATTCTGCCACCAGGAAACCATCTGGGCCTGTCAAGTTCCTTTAAAAAAAAAAAAAAGATGACTGGTAAGGGGATCTTAACCCTTGACTTGGTGTTGTCAGCACCACGCTCTCCCAAGTGAGCCACGGGCCAACCCGAGGTTCCTTTTCAAGTAGGAGGAGGGGGAAACTTGTATTTTAGAACTTATCGGCCCCACCCAGGAGGACAATAAACATGATTAGAGAGAAAGCCCTTCCTATCTTCTGAGCATTGATGGACCTGGGGTGAAGTTCGGTGGCAGGAACTGGACAGACCTGAATCACCCTGCTTTGCAGAAGGTGGGATCCAGTATCGCTGGAGGGGGGAAAAGGAGGTGGAATCTAAGCAGGGAGAGTGGGAGGAGGATGCAGAGAGAGGAACCCCCAAGGTGGTTGGGGGAACCCAGAGGAGGGATGTCCACTGTGAAATTGAGACCACCTTCACAGCTGTGTGTAAACTGCACCCTTCAAAATGTATTCAGTCTACTACACAAAAATGGCTTATTAAATATTCATTTTATTTTAAAAAGGTGCAGGCCCATAATCAAAATAAAATCTCGTACTTCAAAGGACACTGTCAGGAAAGTAGAAAGACAACCGACAGAACTCTTGCAACTTAATAATAAAAAGACCAATAATCGAATTAAGAATGGGCAAAGGGGCCAGCCCGGTGGCGCACTGGAGAGTGTGCTGCTTGGTAGCGCAGCAGTGCTCCGGTTCAGATCCCATGTGGAGACCGGTTCCCGCTCACTGGCTGAGCGCGGTGTGGGCGCAACACCGAGGGTTGAGATCCCGTTGCCGATCCCCGGTACAGGCGCAACACCGAGGGTTGCGATCCCGTTGCCGGTCCTGGTCCGGTACGGGCGCGACACTGAGGGTTGCTCCAAAGATATACAAATGGCCAGTAAGCACATGAATAGATGCTGGGACATTAGTGATCAGGGAAATACAAATTAAAAACAGTGGGATTCCATGTCGGACTCAGGAAGATGGCTAGAATGGAAAAGACAAAGACAATAATGAGTGTTCTTGAGGATGTGGAGAAGCTAGACCCCCAGCCGCCGCTGCTGGGAAAAGAAGATGGTGTGGTTACTCTGCAGAACAGTCTGGTGATTCCTCAAAAGGTGAAAAACAACGTTCCCCTTTGGCCTAACAATTCCATCCTAGGCATATACCCAAGAGAAAGGAAGACACGCGGCCACACGTAAACTTGCACAGGAATGCTCGCGGCAGTGTTGACCACAGCAGCCATAAGGTGGAAATAAGCAAGTGTCCATCAACAGAGGGATGGAAAAACAAACAGTGCTCCATCTGTGTGGTGGAATATTATTTACCCATAAAGAGGAATGGAGCCTTACCTACACTATGACACGGAGGAACCCAGAAAACATGATGTTGAGTGAAGCAAGACAGATAGAAGGTCACTGCAGGGTCCCCAAGATTCCCCTGTTTTTTTTCTTTGTCCTCTTCAAGAAATATCAAGTGCCTTGACCTCCGTGGGTCTGGGTCAGGTACATATTTTCCCCTGCAGGCTTGAGCCCAAGCTAGGACCTTGAAAATTCCCGGGCACTGATAAAGTCAGTTAATATTTTTCTTGAAAGACTGAGATCAACCATGTTGCTAAGTGTGAAGAAACTGGCTCCTGCCCTGAGCCAGATTCCTTAAACACTCTCATATCAACTGTATGGCTGGACCCCTTGTTGGGGACCTAACACCTGGGTAGAACACCTCTCTTCATGCTGTTCATTGTCAGCCCTCTGTGTCCAAATTCCCCTGGGAAATGCTTTGGACCAATCACCCTGGCATAAGGGCTTCTTTCTGTGGCATCCCAACCAGCTCCATCTTGGGACACCTTGCGGCTGTCCCTGCAGGGAGTCCCCTGCCACCACTTTTAGGACAACACCAACTGAGAGATTGGCCAGACAGAACAGCCACATACTATACAATTCCATATATTTGAAATATCCAGTAGATGAGTGGTTGTCTAGGGCTGGTGGGGGATGGGGATGTGGAGACTTGGGGGTGCGGGCTCAGGAGGTGGAGTTGCTTTCTGAGGTGACGAAAATGTCCTAACAGATGGTGGTGGTGGTTGTGCCTTTCCCTGCATTGAATTTTACACTTTATGGGGTGGATTGTGTTGCATGTGAACTGTAGCTCAATAAAGCCATACGCCTGGTACCATGGGCAATGGAACACAAATGCTTGCAGATAGTGGCCTCAGTGAGAAAGTCCTGGAAGAGCCGGGGGATGGGTGGGATTCTGGAGATGAAGCCAGAGCATTTGTTTTAGCTGGGGCAGCGGCACCTCTCTCCTCTCTCCTGCCCTGGAATTCAGAGATAGCTCCGGGAAGGTTCTTGACTTCCTGGATGAGGAATCAGCAGCAGAAAGGTGCCAGCTGGAGTCTGGTTAACCCAAGGCATGCGTGACTTGTAGGCTCTGGCTCTCTGGATCCCCTTTGAGGGTGTTCTGGCCTGCATTGTGCCTCCCCAGTTTCTGTGTTGAAGTCTTACCCCCGTACCTGAGAACGTGTCCTTGTTTGGAGATAGGGTCTTTACAGAGGTTATCAGGTTAAATGAGATCATTACAGTGGGCCCTCATCTATTGTGAGTGGTGTCCTTCTAAATTTGGGTGCAGAGGGAGACGCCATATGAACATGAGGGTGGCCAACTACGAGCCAAGGACAGAGACCTAGAACATCCTGTTGGCTAATATACCCTCCACCAGAAAAGTAAAATGGCATTAAAGACCGAGATACACAAAATGGCACCTGAGAAAGTTTCCCGGAAAACCCCCATCCAGAAAAACACCCTAGCTGCCACGTCACCTTCCCATGCGTGCAATTTTGCCCACCTATGAGAAAGTCCCAGCTCAGCTTAAACCCCACTTGCTTCCCTCCCCTTCCTTCTTAGCCAATAGGAACAGTCCAGCTCCGCCTAACTGGATATAATAGGCCCAGCCCGACTCTCCCTGCAGCTGCTCCCACTTTCGAGAGGGCAGCCCGCTTGTTCATTTCGCCTGCCTAATACGCTTTGGTTGAGTCCCTGTCTCCTGGTGTGTACTATTTTGTGCTCGGGCCAGCGTTTTTCCTTTCATTGGTGCCGTGACTTGGATGGGTTTCCCCATGCCTAGTGGGACCCCATCCGTTTCTCTGCCCGTGGCCTGGAGCCCACACCAGTGACAACACTCAGCCCAGCCCTTCTTCCCAATCGCCACTGGCACATCCAACACCAGCCTTCTAATTGATGAGTCTTCGGATTACCGCTTTCATTTCTCTCTCTCTCCCCCTCTCTCTCTCTTCCGGACTCGGCCAGGTTAAGCAGGGTCCGCCCTTTCCCTGCCCTCTCATTTGCTGCGGGGTTTCTCGTTTCTGCTCTCCAGGCACGAGCAAGCCCTGCTGCCGGGTGCCCCAAAGCTCTATGACCCTCTAGGGTCCATCAACTGCCAGAAACCGGTGACAACTGCTTTCACTGGTTTGAGACCTCTCAGTATCCTAGCTGAAGCAGGGACCCCCCTTCGGGTCCAGTACT